ACAATATAAAAAATGAGCACTCATCATTTTCCCTTTTTCCATGTTTGAGATAAACCATTCTCTCACACAATTTAAAAACCAAAATAACCAAACCTGTTGCTGTGGAGTCGTTTCCGACTCACAGCGACCCTATAGGACAGAGTAGTACTACCCCATAGGGTTTTCAAGGAGAGACTGGAGGATTCGAACTATTGACCTTTTGGTTAGCAGCCATAGCCCTTAACCACTGCTCCATATACCACACTTTAAAAGAATAACATGATAGTACAAACTTTTTTCTACTTTGAAAACATTCCATAAACATAATTTTTAATTGTTGCATATTATTCCAACAAGTTATTACAAGTGTTTCTACCACAATTTGATTAACATTTCCCTCATATTGTGGGCTATTTAAATTGTTTCAGAGTTCAATCTATTATAAATAACAGCTAGATGAACAGCTTTGCACATAAAGTTGTTTTTGTTTCTGTATTTCAAATCTTTCCCAATTTAAGTACAGTCGGCCTTCTATAGCTGCAGGTTCTATATCCATGGATTCAGCCAACTGTGGATTGAAAATATTCCAGGGGAAAAAAATGTTCCAAAAAGCAAAACTTGCATTTACTGTGTGGTGAGCACTACGCTAAATCCACGTGAATGAAGTAGTGTGTAGGCATCCCCCGCTGTAACGTCCCGCCATCTCATAGATCCTAGGTCTCTTTCCAGCACTAGTTGGTTGAGTGTTGCTTACCTCGCTTCTTGACATTATTCCCTAAATAATACTGTATTGTATAACAACTGTTTACATAGCATTTACATTGTATTAAGTATTCTAAGTAATCTAGAGATGATTTAAAGTATATAAGAGGATGTGCGCAGGTTATATGAAAATACCACGCCATTTTATATAAGGGACCAATCCCCTTTGGATACCGAGCGACAACTGTATTCTTTTTGAGTTAGCATGTGACTTCACTAAGTAATTGTCTGAAATATCCCTACTTGGGATCCAGTATGGTTTCCATTTCTCCTGAAAGATGGACTCATTCTTTCTTTGGCCACCACTCATTTTCCCACTTCTGATCCTATAGAGGTGAGAGTACTAGAGAGTTTCTTTGTGTATAGTCTTTCCCCCATCATCATCCATGTATATTGTTTACCCCATGTGTATAGAGACACATTCTTCTACCTTCTGTTTCCATCTGCCATTCTTGACCCTATACGATGCAGGTAAAAAGGGAAGGGCAAATATTTTCAAATATTAAGCATGGCTTGTTGTGGAATATGTCCTAGTGTGGTGAATCCCAAGCAAATGTCACAGGAACAATCTGTGTAGAAAGATGGATGCAACATTGATATTTTAAAACACCAAAATTTACTGCCATTTGCCTCTAGAGTGGCACTGACCAATAGAGCTATCTGAGATCATGGGAATGTTCTATATCTGTGCTGTCTAATATGGTAGCCACTAGCCACATGTATCTGTTGAGCACTTGGAATGTGGCTAGTGCAACTGAGGAACTAAATTTTTAATTTTTTATTGTATTTTAATTAAGTAGCCACACCTGGCTAGTGACTTCCATATTGAGCAAAGCAGGTCTAGAGAATACATACAGAAGTGTGTAGACATCTAAGCTGACTTTACCTTTGTCTCTTACTTTTCAGGGAAGTTCTAGTTTTGATGGACCTCAAGGGGAAACTGGAAACGTTGGCCCTAAAGTAGGTATAACTGATTGTGGGGTGTATTCCCCCTGCCATTGTGGAAGAGGGGGTGAAATGTCTTGGGGTGAAA